TTCGCGACACGTAGCTCACATCAGAAAACTGTACAGAAAAATTAGGCCTTTATTACTTATTTTTCTCATGCCAGCTTTTTGCTTACGATATTCTGATAATTTTTCAAGTTTTTTTTATCAATTCCTCCTCACACATTGCTTACTTCTAGCTTTTCACAATTAGCATACATATCACCTAATTCGTATGCATTTACATGCACGCTGTAAAAAAAATCATTAAAAAATGATCAAAATCATCACGTGCTTGACTGCGTGGCAAAGTCATCTGCCAACATGGCGGCTGCTTCTATTTTCAAAACCTTTTTTTTATTAATCAATTTTAAAAATATTAAATCTTTTTAAGAAATGCTTTTTTTTTTATAAAATTACTCAATTTAATTTATGAGGAATCATATATCTTCTAATTAATCATCATTTTTAAAAGCTAAGTTGAACCATAGCAAATGTTAATAATTGAATCTATATTGAAATAAAGTTTTCAGTAAATTATATATATATATATATATATAGCTCACTATTTACATTGACTAACTGAAAAGTGAATTCTAATAAAAAAAAGTGCAATACTTCTAAGAATTATAGTGGCCATGATTTTGTAACGTCAGTTTGCATGAAACATATTAAATGTACAGGGAAGGCAACATAAATGTTAATGATCCGTATCACATTATTTTATGGCATATTTAATATTAAAATAGGGTAACTTATGCAATTAAAAGATTATATCTCAAAAAAAAAAATGCATAAAAATGAATATATTTTTATAATTTTTATGAATGATCGTATTTTTTTTTTTAAAGTAGAGGTATTTATATGATTTTCATTGCATTTGCTCATATGACATGTTAGAGGTATCATTTATCTTATTTTTTATGAAATATATAAAGGTGTATTGAAATATTTCAACTAAAAAACATGCAAAATAAAAAAAAAAGAAAATTTACAAATGTAACACATTAATTTTCTGCATTTACATATCTCACATTTAAATTTTTATATTTACATATATATCTTTTTAATATTTTCGACACACAAAAAAATGCATTTAACTTTTAAATGTGATAATAATAATAATTTTTGAAGTAGTATTAAATAATTTAGTATTATGTCTATAAATATAAAAATTTAGGCATGAAATATGTAAATACATAAGAATTGTGCGATATATATGTATATGCCCCCAAATTAATAATATATACAAGATAAATATACTACTAAGTTCTAACACATTTACATAGGATTACAGATATAATTATCCATAATTAATGTGGTTCGTACGAGAGCATGAAATACCGAAATTACATTATTTTAATGATATGTAACAAACAGGATTTAGTGATGTCAAATGTCATTTCTGTAAGGAGAAAAATATCAACAAATGTGTGCCCCCGTTGACTAATAGCTATTGAGGAAGGAGGAATCACAAGAAAAGGACCGGCAGACCAGGGACCCAAACTGAACCCAGACACAGACCGACGAACTACTTGCGGTCGATTTGTGGGTCTCAAAGTCAACGAAGGCTGCGATGGTGACGGAAAACCTCGATCTTTCCACTAATGTTCCATTCCTCAATGGTCTCTATTTTGAAACGTGTCTCCTTTTGCTCGGTAAAAATAAATAAATAAATATTATATATATATATATATATATATATATATATATATTAAAAAAACCCAAGGGCAATTATACTAAAGAGAAAAGAATACAGATAGGTTGTATGATCGAGCCTAAATAGACACTCAACCCACACAGTACAACACACAAAAAAAGAAAAACCAAAAAAGAGATTGTACGTATAAGATCAATCGAGACGACTCAAATTAGTTTTGTCTCTCTAGTTCTCGGAAGGGAACCAGCTAACAAATTTGTGAGGTGCGTAACATTACCTGAAGTAATCAAAGTATCATCCATTAGATTTTTTAGCTCAAGTAGATCTTCATTCTTCTTCTTCCTCCTGAAAGTGTAAACCTGTCATTCCACATCCGAAGATTGTTGCTAATTCGGATAAGGTGGTAGAGTTGTAGTAGAAGGATTGTCAGCAGTTGTACCCACAATAGGTTCTAGTGTATGTAAAGTATGAGTTGTTGTCTCTACACCTGATACTTCCTGAAGATGGGGAGCTGCAAGGTTCTCCTGATGATTAGTCCGAACACAATCCTTTGTAGGTAAGGATCCTTCAGTTATGTTTTCAATAGGGTTTGAAAGTGTAGGTAACCCAGCAGTGTTGTCCAGCATCACATCAATCGCAGAAACAGTATTGTCAGGGGGGGTCCGCAAGGGCAATTAAATCAGACATCAAATCCTATCTTGTGGTTGTTTTCTCTCCAGGTGAAATAGATATGTCTTGAGCTGTGGGATTAGACTCATACTTATTCACTAGATCTTTAGATTTCAAATTAGGATGAAGTTTATGACAGTTATCAAGAATATGCCCAAACATCTTACAATGAGAACAATAAGGAGATCTATGTTCCATGACAATTGTTGCCAAAGTCCATTATGAGTTGTGTCCAACCAGACTTCAGTAACATCAGGTAAAGTAATATCTTTTTCCACAAGTATTCTGGCCACAAAAGGTCTAGTCAGATTGAAAGTGCGTAGTTCTAATTTCATAGAGTCCTCAAGTATGGTTGCAATAGAGTAAAGAACCTGATAATGAAAAAAGTGCAGCTTGAAATCAGGTAGACTAAACCATACTGGTACAGTAGAAGATTCATGATTAAGGTCAAAATCAGGAGACCGCTTGAGTAAGTTCATTGATTTGTCTACAATGTTAAGATATTTTTTGGAGAAAATCTGAGTGTAGTCTTCAGCAACGATTAATTGAATTAACACATGTCTCTCATCCATGAGCCTCAATTTTCACTTTTCTAATAGTTTGAGGTCATCAAAACTTTTTCTGATAACTTTCATAGGTGAGTGCCCCAATTGAAATTTTTCAATAAGAGCAAACTTGAATTTCTTAGCCAAGATTTAAATTTCTAATTCAGAAAAAAAAAGTGTTGTTTTCTCACTTTTCCTACTTACATTCTTAACAAAGAGATAGTCACATGTACCATCACCACAGTCCTTATAATTTGAGGGAAAGACAACTGCCGACTCCACCTAAGGATTACCCACCCACGTGGGCAGAGGAGGTTTGGTCAGGTTCAATCAGAGAAGAAGGAAGCGCCATCAGAGCAGGGAATCCTCCTGCTAGAATATCTCAATAGAATTGCTTTTTGCGTAGACCCGAGAACTCGGAAGGCGGACGTCAGCGTTGAACAAAAAGACGCAGATCCGAACTGAAACTGTTAGGCAGGGAGACGCGAAAGTCAGCTTCGAAACGAAGGACGACGCAGACGCGAACGACGAATGTCATCTTCGAAACCGAAGAGATGCAGACGAAACCCTCAACGTCGAAGGACGCGAGCCAACGAAGCAGAAAGTGACAAGCCACAAGAGGAGAGTCTGCGACAGAGACGAGGTACAAGCCCTCTTCTTCGAGCGACAGAATCAAAGGAGACGGAAATGGCTATTTGAAACCCTAGCAAAGCCTACAGGTGCACCCAAAAAGCCTTGACTAATTGAAGAAAAAAAAATACAAACTTCAGACGACACTGCAGAGATGAGTAATATACTTTTATTTTACAATAATTTTGTTTATTTACACATGTTTTTACTTTTCACAGTTTTTATTTTTAAAAAGACAAAAGTTCATGTTTCCATTTAAATGTTATATGCAAGTTTTCTTTTAAATGTTACATGCAAGATAGAAATGAATAAAATATAATATATGCATGTATATGGGAGTCACCCCTTATGGTACTAGCAGAGGAAGCCAATTTACTCATGCACGAAATGAAAATGGTTGCCTACATTTATAGTGGGTTTGAAAAGGTTAAACATATATTTTTATAAAGTATAAGTTTAAAGGGTGACTCCCAATTATGAAAAGTGGAACCTAAAAAAATAAAAAATATATCAAAATTATTTTCTTTACTGCTGGCTTTTACTGCACGGCTTTTACTGTTACCGAACTTTTATAAAAATATTTTAAACATTTGTCCAATGCGTATTTTTAACTCAAACCATAGTTGCTAACATTTTTACAGCAAAATTAGCTATAAATTATATGGACCCCAGGGAGCAAGTTGATAGGCGTTACAGTTTAGTTTATTTTATGTATAAATGTAAATGCAAATGTTTAAATATGAAGAATCTATTGTAAATATAAATTTTATGTTTTAGAATGATTCCTTTGTGTTTTGAATTTTTATTTTTGTGATGAAATGAAACTGTTAGATAGGTTTCCTTCGTCCGATTGTCAGTTCCTACCTTTGCAATTCCAAGCTCACCGGGTTGGATTGTGACATTAGTATCTTATTAATACTAGTGAATGTTGTAATGGATATCTTGAGATTACAACCAGAATGAAAGACATTGAGAACAGATGTAACAGAAAAGCTAGTTGGTCGGATAAGCCAAACGGAACGAGTGATTCAAGTCAAGTTTCAGATTGGTATTCTATGAACATAAAACCAACATAAGCGAGGGATCAGGCTGTATTTAGTATTATCATAAAGCTACTTATAGAAAGCACAATTTCTTCTAATTTCATAAAGGTTAAGAAACTGTAAATCATTTCACTACTACATTTTCTATTTTTCTTCGTGAAAATATGCCTCAATGGTAAAAAAAAACAAGAATAAAGCAATTCCTTATCATTTAAGCACTATATTTAGAACTCAATACTGGAATTCCGTCAAGAAGCTGATAAAGAAAAAAAAACTTCAGCAACAATAACTATACCATGCAATCCAAAAACCCTTTATCACGATGTAACTTGTAAATGTGTAAAATGAAAACTAAGGTGTGCATGGTACGGCACATGCATATGCCGAGGATGCAAATATGAAGCAGAAATTAAAAATATTTGTTTAAAAAATGCAAACTGTTCTATCATCATAGATGGAAAGAATAAACTTAATCTTATTAGATAGTAGAGTTGACGGGAATACCTGAGGTATGATTGGCAGAGAATCTGTAAGTGGAATAATACCCTCTTCCTTCTCGGACGGTGTAGGGTTTGCTGTACGTCTTGGATCAAGATAGCGCTTATCAAGAGCCAATACCTAAAATTATACAGTCAACTTTAAAAATGATTTAAAAACTTACAAGAATTTTTGAAGCAAAAAGTAGATAGAAACACAGAATTTACAGTGAACAGACTTCAAATCACCATTGAAAGACAGGTTAACAGAACTATATCTGCATAAAATAAGGCTTTTTTTCCCATATGTTTTAGCTAACCTGATCGGTAATAGTTCCAATGAGAAGTTGCTTGGAAGTTATTCCCTTAGCTGTTGTAGTTACCGCCATTACTTTCACAGAATGGGTAAAGAAATATGACTGGGATTTGACCATCACCTCGGGCCGAGAATATAAAGAAAAAGGAGACGTCAAGTTATGATTTCCCAGAACAAGCTTCAAGACATCCTTGTTATCCTATTAAAAAAAGTTTAAATTCTGAGTACCTGCTGGGTTGAAAAATAAATGATAGAAATGTAAATACCATGATGATTGTAAGAAATACTGACAGCTCGGGACTGATCATAGATTTCAATAACTGACATTTCATATCTGTGTGCTCTCAAATTGAAGTAGTGGTATACAACCCAGTTCTCACTAACCACCTTTCAAGGAAAAATAGAAAAGAGGTCACTAGAAGATTTCCCAAAAGCTGCTCTACAGTGTTGATAGCTACTGAAGCAATGGAAGGTTCAAACTACTTACAGCATTCACAGGGCCTTGTGCACCCTGATGAATCACACGGTGTAATATGCGTCCAGTTACAGCATCAATGAGGTATGCTATTAACCAAGCTTCTTCTGGTGTCACCGAACCAATCTCGCCAGCAGCTTTTGGAGCAACAGTCGCAACAAAGAGCAGACTTCTTGATATGTACTTATACATCACATCCTGATCAGCTATGACCTTTGCTTGTGTATGAACCACCTAGAATTTGAGCAGAATGTTTCCAAGCAATGTAGCAATATTAGAAGCACAAAAAAAAACAACAAACAAGCAGATAATCCCTTCAACTAAAGAAATTTGCACATAATAATTGATATTAAAGAGGTGATTTTACAATATATGTAAAAGTGGTAGCCATTCAGTAATTGATTGATTAATAGATTTTTTTTTTTTTTACCCATATCCTGACGATTTGAGGCCAGGTTTATGAACCATCTTCCATTCATTTAAATTGAGTGAAGCATGTATGCTTAATGAATACTCCTTTCTTTCAGTTGACTGATATAGGTAATTAATATGAATATTCTAGACTGTACTAACCAATTTAGTACTTGAATTAAGAAGAAACGAGTATTCTAATACATAAGTTCTTCTATTTGAGAAAATTAAAGTTTAGTTAACAAGCAAACATGTCCAATGTGTTTTAGTGAAATGAACTAATATTAAGCTTTGTTTCGAACAATTGAGCTGATACAGCAGCTTTGTTGGGTTGCTTGAAATTGCCATGTACTCATATTGAACGACATGCCACTTTCATATAGAGTGATAGTGAAATTACACGAGAAAAATGGGATTTTTCCATAACATTCCATAGCTTTTCAAAAAGCTGAAGTGGAAGGATCTATAGCTCTCCCCAGAAAATAAAAGCTGAATCAAAAGTAAACTAAACATGTGTGGACAGCACACCTGCTGATATTAGATAAAAATTCCTCTAGATGAACCGCATTAATAAACAATGATATGGCAGATTTCGTGGCAATATTCAATAAATAACTGTAGAAATTTCCAAAACACAGATAAAACAAAAAGCACAAAGCAAACTTTAAATTCAAAGGATCTTAAAATCTAACCACGTAACTACATTTTTAAATAGAACTTACGCAAAGAAACAAGGGCAGTACAAAGTGAGTTGCCAAGGAAAACTTGCTATAGTATGATGAGCAAAATAAACAACTGAAAATTAAGAAAAACATTAAGCATGCTACAAGTAGTACTAGGATAAAAACAAGCATACACCAAATACACAATTTTTTTTCATATAATTAACATGAGTGAAAATTGGAAGAACAAAACCAAAGATGAAAAAAATGAAAAATTAGCAAATTAAAACTGCAACAGACCTCGTTCATCTTTCTCGTAGCAATGACCGCAAGCTTCTCAGAGTGAGCTGGAAAGATGATTGACCACAACTCTTTAGTATTAAAGCAGTATCGATCTTCCATATCAGATTTGCATTTGGAATTGAAAGAATAACCCCTCATAATGCCTTCAATAGAATCAACTGAGTACCAGTAAATGTTTGAAATTTCAGAAAGAAAGATGTCAATAGATTCAGCTGTTCTTGGATACAAATGTGCATCAAAATTTGAATCTATCACAAGATGGAGATGTTGCTCAGTTGAGTCTGTAAGAGGTAGCCGGATGACTTGAAAAATGGAATGAGGAAGCTTTTGAGAGCTTCTCAGCTTCCCAGTATAAGAATCAATTATTGAGAAAACACCTGAATCAGGTTCACATTTGGCCAACACAAGAACAGAAGGGTTTTCATCCATTGCGTGATGATGAGGAACCTGCCACTGTGATAGCTTTAGAGCAGAAGGATGTTCCCAACCACCTATTGTACGAAGTGAAGGAAGAAGAAGGGACCAAACAACCCGACCATCTCCGGTGTGAAGTGCAAAAACCTTTCCAGCTTTAGTAAGCACAATAATTAACTTCCTAAATCCATTATGGTCCCTTGTCATTTTAGTTTTCTCCGAACTTCTCAATCTCATCTCTTGTAAAGCAGCAAGGTCATCAGAAGTAGCAAGCATGAGGGTTCCTTTGAGTTTCAGCATATGCCCCTTTAACAAATAAACCAAAAGAAGCAGAGTAAGAGGCAAACCTATTGCAGGAAACTGTGGATTTACTAAAAGTTCGATATGTTAAATACAACAAAAGCCACAAGAGCACATCAAAAAGCTCTAAGTTTCAAATTTGCAATTTTCACACTTACGTACTTTTTATATTCCGAATGGCATTCACTGATGTGGGAGCTTCCCAAACAAACATTTTTGTGTATCTGCTACATTACTACGGCTACAGTACCACGAGAGATGGGTCTAAACAGTCTTGTTTTTCTTTCTTATGCTTTCTTTCCTATTATCCTTCATTCATTTTTAATTATCTGCTATATATGTGTTTTATTAGGATTAGGAAGTCAGATTTTGTCGTTTTACTGTTTAGGACAGCCATCGGTGTCCGTTTCTACATTATATATGTGTTTTATTAGGGTTAGGAAGTCAGATTTTGTCGTTTTTCTGTTTAGGACAGCCATCGGTGTCCGTTTCTACATTCGAGGGCTGTATTCGAGGGTTTGAGTTGGTGTTGCGCTGTATTTCTTTCCCAGAGTGGTGATTATTTTCCCGGTTTGAGTGGTGTTGCGGCTGTATTTCTTTCCCAGAGTGGTGATTATTTTCCCTATCCCCTTTCGCATCCCTATCCCATTTAACATCCTCCCCATGTCGCTCCCGGCCGCTCCATCCTATTTAAGCCGCCTATGACGGCAGATATTGCTGTTTTTTTTTCCTGCAATTTCCCCATATCCAACCGTCTCCCTCCCTTCCCCGTCCATTTGCCATCCCACACAGCCGCCTCCACCCTCTCCAACCTTCCTGCATCACTCCTAGTCGCCGATCCTCACTTCCGCCATCAAGAAAACAGAAAATCTGCTGTTTCCCTGCTGTCCAACTATCATTCCGACTTGGTGCCGCCTTGACTGCAGCCTATCCTCCAGTCCCAGCAGTTCCGGATCGCTGGCCCTGCATCGGACAGCACTCCTCTTGATGTAATACAATCCACAACCCTTCCCCTTCACTGCGCCTTTCTGTCCTAGCCCTCTGCTTCGCTGCCAACACTATGTAAGCTCATTCCTTTCCAGTCCCAACCCCCACAACCCATTCACCTACCTCGACTCCCTCACCACCTAGCCGACCTCCATCACCGATGGACCAAGCCCTAGTATGAGTTTGTGTCATGTTTGTATTAATTTCCCTTTCCAGTATGTTTGATTATAACTGACTATTTACTTTCAATAATAATGTTTGTTTTTCCTATTGTGTTTTGGGTTAACACCGGTATCATTCGCTTTTCACAAAAAAAAAAATCAATGAAGATTTTTCCTTTTTCTGGTCAAGGGGAAATGAAAATTGCAGAAATAAGAAAATTTACAGATAAAGAAACGAATTGAAGCTTCTCCATAGTTCTAGAAAAGTTGGAATAATAAATAAAGATCATTTTTAAAGACCATTTCAATAACTTCTACTTCAGTGGCACAAAAAAGTATAAAAAATGACCTTATCATGACTGCTTTGTAATAGTTGGTACTTTGAACACAATTTGAACACATCTCCTGTGAGGTATGTGATGCAAAAGAGAAACAAAGTGTATGGGAAGATATTGGGTTGTGCTCAGTTCTTTTTATAATACGTGACAGAGACGCCACTCAATTTGTGTTGACTTGAGAGTACGGAAAGCATTTCTCATTTCTGATCGTAGGATTACAGTAAAATTTTATTAATTTTCATCAGCGCATGAAATTAATGAATTTAATACTACCGTACCACTGTCAAGAGAAGCAAAACATCTTAAACATTTGCATATCATATAAATTCAAGTTTTGCACATAAAAATTGAATCTTTCAAAACAAACTTTCAAATTGCAAATGTAAATGGTACAAACAGTCATTCCTATGATGATCAAGTTGAAAGTCTCAACCGGAGAGATTCATCATCAAAATAAAGCACTAAAATTACAAATGTAATTACTTTAGACAGCATGCCCAATGATGACCATACAACAAAAACAACAATAACAAAGCCTTAATCCCACTAAGTGGGGTTGGCTACATGAATCATTTTCTCAATTGGTGTCATATTTTTATTTAGTTCTAGTAAATTAAGATCATTTTTCATTCAATAAGCCCAAGTCTTCCTAGGTCTACCTCTGTCTTTCTTAACACAAGTTGAATCTAAAACATCTACTCTCTTAATCGGATCATCAGATGGTTGATGTTTAATGTGACCAAACCATTTAAGACGACTTTCTCTAATTTTGTCCGTCACAAGAGCTACACCAACCCTATCACGGATATATTCATTTTGCATTTTGTCTCTAAATGTAAAGCCACTCATCCACCTAATCATTCTCATCTTAGCAACACTAAACTTATTATTATGCTTCTCTTTTAAAGGCCAACATTTAGCGTCATAGAGCATT